AAGTTTGGAACAGTGAACTGGTGTGGCGTAGCTAAGTTTGATGTAGTGCAAGAAAGTGAGAAGGCGAGAGATTTAAATTGGAGAGAAACGTAGTGAGTTGCATGGTGAAGCATAGTTTAGTGCATTAGGCTTTCCAGCAGAGATTCTCGTCCCATTGCCGATTAGACAGGCTCAACAGTCCCGCAGGTTCATCCACGCATCCACCATAATCGGGCAGCTTAAGTCTAGGCGAACCTTAATGTTGACGCATCTTTCAGTTCGTCTACGAGGCGAGTGTATGGGATTCATAGATTGACCGTATCGGCAGTCGAAAGAGGATTTCCTGGTAGCTGAGACTGTTGCTGTCTGCGGATAAGTCCTCCTTGGCGCAGCATCCAGTGAGCCCGATGAATCTGTGTTGGGCAATAAGGGACATCGGCAGAAGTAAAGTGAATTGGCCACTGATGGCGCGTAAAATGGAAGCGGTTGAGATCGAAAATCCGCATCCTGCTCTCAGCTGTCTTTGCTTGGTTGCCTTTGATGTCCCTTTATCAATCACACCTACTTTATCAGGCAAAATAAAGTGAAAAGGAAGTGGCAATAAAGGGAAATAGACGCAGCCCTACCTCGCGAGAGTCCACCACGCGCAAAGTCACGCTGGATCCGGATCGTGGGGGGCTTCCGGGTATCGGAGGAGGCAAATTAACGACCATGTAGCGTACAGAGTCGGCATACTTGGCCCCGTGCGGGCACGGCAGTTGGATGTCGCGGCAGAGGACGCGACAGGACCTGAGGCAACGAGTGAAAATATGTCAAGATTATAGTGCCCAAAGGCGTCCAGTTACGAAAACAAAGATAAGTATCACATTCCAACGCTAATAAAAGTAAACTTTAGCAAAATAGAAGTAAAAATCACCTAAATCCGTCTTTCATATTCAGACCTTAGAGAAAAGAGAAACATAAAATATTGAATGCAAAATACTACTTATAAGTAGGAACTTGTCTAACGTATAATACAATAACACACTTTTTTAACCAGGTCAATTAGCATATTGATACATTCTGAAGCCCCCTGAGCAGAACTTGTCTCTTTGTCATGGATTATGCCATGTCACGAAGGGCAGAGACACATATACGTTCAAGAATAGATGGTCCATGTACCGGTAATCCACAATATCCGGAACAGATGCAGTAACCCAAAGAATTTAGAGTGAGTCAGCAGAAAAAAGAAGGCCCGACCAACACAGCCCTGACTTGTGGGATAAAGGGTTGTGTTTTGCGGGTTTACATTAAGAGAGAATTTGCTGATTGGATGTACCTACTTAGTTCGTTTGTCGTATTTATACTTTTCAGGACACTTCGGCTCGACACAGGAATAGTTGCCGATAGTGTTTAGGCAGATTTCATTGGCTCGGCAGACCGGGCGGGTACCGGCACACTCATCAATATCTGAAACAGAAAAGGACGAATACGAATAAGTATCTGCCATAGATATATCTCATTGAGGATAGCGATAAGTCCGAGAAAAAGCGTCAAATGTGTCTATATGTGCGAATATGTAAATGGATGAACTTAGCATACTACTAGTTAGCATACATAGCTACTACTGAATCTTAAACTATGCCTATAAATTGCTTAAAATCTAGGACGAAAACAGACCCTAACCCTAACAGAAGACTAATCCGAACTAAGAGCAAACCGAACCCTAAATTTGATCTTTAACCTAAGTTAAGCCTAGACATAATCACAACTCCACCACCAACTAAAAAACTAAACCTATGCATAAATGTAGCCAGAAAGCCAAAAGTAGACAAAACCCACAATATAAACATAGCTAAAAGCCTTAAATTAAATATTGTGCCGACACTAAACCATATCCGAACATAAACCCAAGCTTAAGCATAGTCCTAATGCTACCCCAAAACATTGCTCATCACAAGGCCTAGCCTTAATCTTAACCTCAACACTAATCCCAACCATAAAGCATAACCTAACTCTAGACCAAATGCTAATCCTAAACCTAGCACCACCAGAAAACTAATCTTAGTCCAAATCTATACACGTAAATATGCTCATTAACCCACATCCTAATACAGGCCAAATAGTAACTCTTAATTTTCATATAACTCTAGCGCTAAAGCTAACATCAAACCATAATATTAATACTAACTTTAAGTATAAACACAACACTCATCCTAACCCTATTCCCAACAATCACCATAACCCTAAGCCTAATCATAATTTTAAACATAACTCTACCATTAAACATACTCCTTATCCTAATCCAAGCGCTAATTTATATCACCAACACTATCTCAACCCTAACCCTAATTATCACTCTTGCTCCAACATTAAGCCTAAGCCTAGAGCGAATCCCCAACACACAACACAAACACACGCACATATATATACATGTACGTTTTGGGATCGAACTGTCGGGTATAGACTTACCCCCCCCCTTGGCCAATCTGAGAGAAGAGTCAGTAACATATCCTACTGGCTGACCAGTAGTGGGGGAGGAGCGGACTAACCATTTTGTCAAAGTGGCTAATCGCATCCAAGCCAGTCAAGCAGATCACCGTAAAACGCCCTCAAGCTGGTACAGCTTAATAAAACAGTCAAATCAATCAGCTTAAACGAATTTATGTTAAGTCTTCTCTAAATTTGGAGTAGTACAGATCAGTACATTTGGCGGACTTTTAATGTTTATGAAAGTAGGGATTG